AGGGAGAACGGTTCAAAGTGGTGCCAGGAGTGGAGATGGTCAAGTCAAATTTAGGATTGGGTTTGAAAATCCCATGTTTGGATCGTGTTTGCATCTGTGGGGAATTTGGAGGTGGTCTAGTTGGTGTAATTGGCGTGAGGCCTCTAAGGGGAGGTGGAGTGTATGTGTTTGGGCCTAAAGTTGGTGAAGGAGAATGATGGGATGGTGAGTTGGGCCGCGAAACTGGATGTGTAATTTCCTGTATTTTTAAATATTTTATAAATGAAATTTTATTTTATTGATAATATTTATTTGTATTTTTTCGGAATTTAATTTTAAAAGTTTTAAATTATTAATTTGGGTCAAAAATTATTTTAGTACAAATTATTTTATGAACCTTCATTCTACAATTTATGCCCATACAAACAAAGCCTAGTCCATTTTATTTACTTAATTGGCCCAATATTTTCATGAGGCCCAATTTTACCCTACAACTCTCCCCTATAAATACCCCATGAATCCCCAAATAGTCTCCACACAAAAAAGTTAGTCTTTATTTCTTTCCCCTTTATTTCCTTTTTCCTTTATTTTTCTTTTCTTTTTCCTTTATTTTTCTTTTCTTTTTCTTTCTTTCCCTTTCTTCTTTCCTACGTGAGCAAAGCTCACTACCGCCAGCCACCTCCGGCGCGCTGCCACCACCTGGTCGCCGATGATCACCTAGCCAGCTTAGCTGGCCCACGTGGCCTCCTCCCCTTGTTTCTCCTTTATTTTACTTGTTTAGTTTGTATAATTTTAATGTATTGGTTTTGGGTTTTTGATTTAATTGTTTGAAATTAGTTTATTTAGTATCAAAATTATGTTTTTGATGTTTTAAACTAATAATTTCAGATTATATAATGGTTTTAATTTTTCAGATTTTGTGATTTTAAAACCTAGGGTTTTACTTTATGTAAATTGGGATTTTAGGGTTCTAATGAGTAATTAAATTGGGGCTTTAGTCCCTATTGTATTTCTAATCATTAATTAAGCATAAAAGCATATTTTTAAGGAAGTTTTAAGGAATTTTTAATAAAATTATATTGCTGAAAATTAGTTTGGGAATTAATTTGTGATTGTTGGTTGTTTTCTAGGAGGTGATTATTCCCTAAGAGACTTTTAAGTGATTAAAAGTAGCACAAAGAATTGTTTACACGAGGTACGTACATGTCTACTTCGTTGAAAGTAGTATCATGTTTAGGTACCAAAAAGGAAATAACTTAGCTTCATGTCTAGAGAACTCTTGGATGGAAATTGTTGGTTAAACATTGAATTAATTCATGTGCTTATGTTTATGAGACATGTTTTGGTGAATTAATTATGTTTGTATGGAATGTTGATACAAGCATATTTTTTTTTATTGGATTGGTTTATTAACCACATTTGGAATATTGTAGGATTGGAATTGAATGGTTTGAGTGGAATGAATTTATTAATTATTCCATGAGGTTATTATTATTTTAATTATTACTCAAGCATGACTTGTTAGTATGTTGAGTAAAGGTGGATTAAGCCGAAATGGCTAGGTGGGTTGACTATGTTCAACAATTTTGGATATCTTGGAAGTTTAATGAAATTAAAGGTCAATTTGTGATGTGATCATCGTTGTCCTAAATAAGATTAAAAGTGAATTATATATATGATTATTATGTATGGTTTACTTGAATGAGTCGGCTATTAATTAAACTTGTAATTACGTAAAGTGAAACATGGATGAGCAATAAACTCTGGAAAGGTGCACTTCTAGAGTATTGACAATTATGGGTTAGGGTACACGGTGGTAGCCCATGGCTTTCCGAGGCTTGTTTGATCAACATGTCCTCTTTTCTTTTGGTATTTACATTTTTCTTTTATAATGAAAGTTAGATGGGATCCTAGACTAACTTTGTGAGAATGGAGTCGCGCCCATTCTTGCATCGCGCTATATTTTTATTTTAAATGTTTATTTGGGACCAAAATGATTTGGTGGATTGGACAACCTCATCTGTTGCTTACTCCAAATTAAATTAATTAAATTAAATATAAAGAGTCAAGTGTTTGGAATTGGTTAGTGAGTATGTTGAGTTGATTGAACTATTTTAGTGTGGAGGCTGGTTAATGAATTCATGTTGAATGTTTATTTACTTTAATTAGTTGAGCATGCTAGGTTTGGTGCGTTGTAACTTGTATGTACTCAGCTTTGCTGATGACGTGCTTTTGTGTGTTTTCTTTTGGTCATGGCCTTCGCCTTTCAATGACCCTGTGATGATCCAATACACTTGTATTATTGGGGAGTAGTATTGCACAGGTTAGCTTGATGATGTGAAGTTGGGGGATTTGGCAAAGGATTGTGATTGAGAGTATTCGTTCTTTGTGTTGAACTTATTTATATTTTGTTATTTCATTTATGATTTGGATTTTGAATATTGGTTTGGTTTTAAATAAGGATCTTTATGGTTCCAATTTATAAGCTTTGACTTATTGGTTTTCTAAACTTTGTTATTTTAAAGACTTAAATTTGGTTTTTCCGCTGTGATACTTTGATAAAGCCTTAACGTTTTAACACGTGGCGGTAACATGTCAATCATTCTCCTATATTTTTATTTAAAGTAAGTGGTTTGGAAAAAGGAGAATTATTAGGGTGTTACAAAGTGGTATCTGGGAGATTTGGTTAGATTTTAATTACCACTAAAGCCAATTTCAAAGTTTTTAAGCACCTAACGTTTTAAATTAGAGAGTTTGATTTAACTACATTATTTTAAGTGAAATTTAATTTCGAAAATTATTCTATTTTAGTAAATTTAATTCGGCATTTATAAAAAAAAAAGGATTTTTCGTGTTTTATATATATTTTGTGTTATTTAATTATTTTGAAGTAAAATGAATTTAATTATTTATTTTATTCTTAACTTGTGTACTTATTTTTATTTTATCGGTGAGATGTGGGTACTATTAAGAAGGGCATATAGGATAGATTATTTCTTTCTATATGCATTGTAATTAATTCTTTTGTGCTTTTATTTTATACGTATGTAGTGATTATGCAAGTTATTTAATTATATATTTTATGTAATCGTGCAAGCTTGAGTGTGATCACCTAGTATCATATTTAAGGTTTAAAGCATGTATTATGGAATGGTATGTGATGATTTGCTTATGTGAAACATGTAATTATGTGACTAATAATATATGTATATTTAATTATGTTATTTACTTAATGCTTGGATTTTGGTGGGGATTGAATCAAGGGAATTATTTTATTTAATTTTCTTGTGCGTAGGATGATTAAAATTTAATAATCATTTCCTTTAAAAGTGACTTATTAGGGGCGATTGTGTGGCCTTGTCCACCTCTCTACCTTAATATATTTGATGATCACGAATGCGGTGTGTTGTGCAAGTAGAGTATTTTTGTGTCGACGTTGGCCTAAGAGTGCGTTATATTTCTAGGCAGGGAAGGAGGATGGCTAACAGCGATGCTTTAGCTGATGCCATTAGGCTACTAGCTGAGAACTTGAACCAAAACCGCAATGATAATCCTGATCCCGCAGGTGAGATGTTTAAGAAACATGCTCAGGTTAAGCCACTATACTTTAAAGGAAGTGGAGACCCAACTTTTCTGGAGAACTGGGTTAAGGAGTTTGATAAGATCTTTGCTGCTTTGAATTGCCCTGTGAATATGAGAGTTGATCAAGTTGCCATGTATTTGAAGGATGAGCCAGATATTTGGTGGAGGGATAATGGAAATGTGCTTCGTGCTGAGGCTAATTTTGGTTGGGAGGCTTTCAAGACAAAACTTAGAGAGAAGTTCTATCCAGCATTCTTAAGGAAATTAAGGCTCAAGAGTTCATCAATATGCAAATGAACAACATGTCGATTACTGAGTACGCAAAAATTGGAGTCTTGCTCCTAATTACAATCAATCAAATTTCTACTCCTAAGAAAGCTTAAAGTGGGTGCTCTGGGATGTCCTAATCGGTTGTGCCATGTAGACGGAGAAAGGGCTGTGAGTGATGTAGCTAGACAAGTTGATGGTGTGTTTGTGATTGGATAGAGATCCCCCGTACTATCACATCTAGTTAGAATTCTCCCTATTCGAAGATCCTTCACAGAAAAACCACTAGGTCAAATTCTATAGACACTGAATTATCATTGGTAAATTTACGAACTGAAATTAAATTTTTGATAGTTTGGGGAGCTAAGTAAACATCACGAAAGGCAAGGGATTTATTGGCTATGCTAGAATGACCATAACCCGTAATTGGAATGCGTTGACCGTTTCCCACCTGAATATAATTTTTAGTGCTTAAATTAAAAAAGGGTAAGAGATTACTAGCATTATTAGTCATGTGGGAAGTTGCTCCGGAGTCCATGTACCAAGCTAGGTCGTTGTTTGAAATCCCATCGTTGAAAAGGCATTCTCGAGATCCGTGGGTGTCATTACCGAATTGGATTCCGGACCCTGAGTGTAAAAGGGCTGCTGAGCCTGCTGACATGGTTAGGCTGACGGACCTGGCCCAGCAAAGTATGCAGCAAGTGGTCTTGGGGCCATTGGAGCTGTGTAACTAGGCTATTGCAAGGGCCACTGCTGCTGTGGATATGGACTTGGGGCTTGACCCCATTGTGGAGCCCTTGGCTGGGCTTGAGGGTGCTGTGGTGGACCAGCCCATTGAGGGTGGCCCCATTGTGGCGCCCCTTGCTGCTGCTGGGGTTGCTGCTGTTGTTGGGAGCCTCTACCGCGCCCTTTACCGCGGCCACGACCTCGCCCGCGACCACGACCACCGAAGCCACCGCCACGGCCAGCCGCCTGAGCGTGCTTGGTTTGAGAAGAGGATACGGTGGCAGCTTGTGTGGGACCGCTGGATTGTGCCACAAAGGATGATGGTGCGGTACTATTGTCGTTATTACGACGAGATTCCTCAAGCAAGAGTCTAGATCTTGCAGTTTCAAACGAAGGTAATGGATCCGTTTGTTGAATCATAGCAGCAACGGTGTCGAAATCAGTATTTACAAGCCTGAGACCAAACGAATAACCATCTTCTGATCCAACACGGTTTGATCAACATTGGCAAGTTGATCTTTCAAGTTTTTCAATTCATGACAATAAGAAGAGATGTCCGAAGAATTGGAGAGATGCAAAGAGTTGAATTGATTTTCAAGATAAACGGCTCTAGTAGTTTTATTATTTTGAAAAATTGCCTTGAGTTTGTCCCAAATTTGCTGAGCCGTATCCCCTTTACAAAGAATCGTCTCCAGATATTGTACCAAAAATCCAGTTCTTGACAACAAAGTCAAGTCGTTTCCACATATCCTCCGATAAATCTTTTGGTTTAGGCATTTTAGAGTCAATATGATCGAGTACATTAAACGCATGTGCATGATATTCAAATAACTCAACCCAATTTGAATATTATACCTTCTCACGATCAAGGATAAGAAGTATCGAATTCTTGATATTATTAACACCTAAAGCTGGGTGATATTCGGAAGAAGAGGTAGTGTCGCCATCTTTTCCCATGGTGGCAGGAAGAAATTAGGTACAGCAAGAATGAGGAACAAAGAATTAATTGATAAGGAAATCAATTAAGTGAGTGGAAATACGGCAGGTGCACCAAATTGGTTGTTGTCGTGAAAGAAAGAAACAAAGACGGTAAAGATACCAACTAGAGTAAAGAAAATAAATGGAAAAATTGCAGAAGCTACATCGAAACCTGAAACTCTGAAGCTGTGATACCATATTACATTTTATGAAACTCCTCAGATTGGAGTGTATTCTATTGATCAAAATATATAGGGTTACAATTGTGAGACCTAATCACGTTAGGAAATCTCACAATATATTTACAGAATATTCACAAAACTATATCCTTCTATACAGAATAAATCTAGAATATTTATCATATTCTATCAAAAAATATAAGAAAGTATAGTGGGGTTAATATTTATTGAAAAGTAAGAAATGTGAAAGGGAAATAAATAATAATAAAAAAAGAGTAGTGGATTTGAACTGGGTTAGAGGCACCATGAGAGAAGAGAGATAACATTAATAGGTTGCTAAAAATAAAACATATAGAGTAACACTTAAAAGAAACGACTGCATTTGGTAAGTGTAACACCTAAAAAAACGAAGAGAGTAAAATGTATTATTCAATATGTTTTTTTAATCAATATTACAACTTTCTTCTTCTTTTTTTTTTTTTGGTTGATGATTTTGGGTTAGTTGTTTAATTTTTGAAAGATGATAAGAGCATTTTGGGAATTCTAGGTGGATGACACTACTCCCTACTTCTTTCACTTATTTACTCTATTCGTCTCATAATTTAATTCCCAAAAATCATTTTGGGTGTCTCAAAATACTTTTAGATTACTTAAAATGTGACTAGAATACCCTCACTTTTTAAAATTCTTATACATATTGCCCTTGCTTTTTTCCTAGTTTTGTTTTACCCTATTAAATGCTTTTTCGGATTTTTTTACTTATTCATTATTGCTGTTGTACTTTATTTATTTTTAAATATAGTTTTTTAGATTTTTATATATTTTTACACACACACTCCTCCCTTGTTCCTTATTTCTCATGAAAATTGAGAAGCATGAACTATATTATGGGACAAAGGGAGTAATATAGATTATTGCCACTATTGTTATTGTTAAGCACACAATGATAACGAGAAATTTAGTAGAAGGTTAGATAACATGAATATTCAATCAATTAAGTGACTTTCCTTGTTCAATTTTTTTTCTTCTAAATATCCAATGTAATGGAGTGATTATTCTAATTCCACTTTTGTTTTCTTTTAAGCAAAAAGAGACTAGTGCATTAATTAATCAAGGACTCAATGTCCAAAAGTACATATGACCTGAGCTAATCTCACATGGGACATGATTATCCCAAGGTTGTTCAACACCAAAAGGCACTAGTCTAGCAAGATAGTGAGCTACATAGTTGCTCTCTTTACTCACATGAACCAATCTACAACATTGATATAACGACTTGATTGCCTTTTAGTATGATGATTTTGGGTTATACTTCCTCTGTCCCTTTATTTTTACCCCATTGCCATTTTTTAAGATCATATTAGAAGTCAGTAATTTTTAATTTGTTAAAATGATAAGGGCATTTTAAGAACTTTAAGTTGAGTCTACTTCCCCGGCCCTCCTCACTTGTATGAAGTATATTACTAATATTAGGAATATTACAATCGTCGTTGTTGTTAAATAATAAAGTTCAGATAACATAAGTTCAAATAAAATCATATTAGAAGAATTAAGGTGAACTAAACAGGGCCTAAAGACTAACTTTAGCACACTAATCACTAAAATGGGTTAAGTTGCCGAAAAAGTATCATTTTAACAAATTAAAAAGAATGGGTTAACTTTAAATATCTCAAAACTATCTTTTCTTATTGTTGGAAACGCTCATAACAATCATAGGGTACTTCATAGTTCATTGGAGGTTGCTATAGGGTGAAGAATTAAACGAAGCTCATAAACTTATTCATGGTTTTTATCAAGCAAAAGGCCAAGATTTAAGCTTTTTTTTTTTTTTTTTTTTTTTTTTTTTTCTTTTTTTTTTTTGAAGTAAGGCCAAGATTAAAGCTAGAAGCAAAGAAAACGATACATAAATTAATAATATATAAATTTATCACAGGCTTTAACAACTAGTTTACAAAGGATATATATCAATTAATTAATAAACAAATTAGGATGCTATATATATATATATATATATATTTTGAAGTCTATGCTCATATATTTATTGATATACTAGTATGTACTTACACAATTACATTATTAACGTTTGTATCTCATGACATAATTTCTTATATAATTGTAGTGTCATATGTCATATGAACATTAATTGTCAACACCTTCAATTGGTATAAAAACTGGCAAATCTTCCCTATGTATAGTGTTCCATAACTTGGAAACTAATGCTTGCTCTAGCTTTTGATTAGTTGACTTCACCTTAGAACTAACAGAGTGAAGATGTTCTGATACCTTCTCTAAAATTTCTACTTTGTTATGTTGATGATCATGTTCATTCTTACTAGCTTGTAAAGATCGATAATCCTTGACCTCATTCGCCTCCTTCTCCAACGACTCCAATGTCATCTTGGTGGACTCATCTTTCGTCAAAGAATGTTCACCTTGTAGCAATTTGATCTTGGTCGTCATATCTTCATTTTCCTTTCTACACAACGAAAGTTGATATTCAAGCTCCTTCATGTTTTTGTTCGCGACTTCGAAACTAGCCTTTGATTGTTTGATCTCATTCTCCTTTTGCTCTAAATTTTTTCTCAAGGAGACATTGAGAGAATTTGGTAATATGACTTCGAACATAGACCAATCAAAGATGTTATTGTAAATTGGCCTACAAATACCTTTCCCTGTTACAAAAAAATAGCAAGCTCCATCGCAATTAACATAGATATGTCCCATTTTCGGCCCTCCTAAGGTTAACGACTCATACAACCTTCGTAACATAGGTTCTTTTATCTCCGTTCCATAAATCATTAGCTTATCATTCCTTAGGTCTATGTTACGTATAACTTGCCTAGTATATGACTTTTCAACAAAGACTGCCATTCGATACATAAATCTATTTCCATGGCATGGAGAAATGTAAATTTTTGGATCGTCTTCTAATTTATAAGTGACCATTGTTTTTGATTACTAGAACTAATAAGACTAACTCAACAATTCATTGATAAGAAATAAAAAAAAATGATTATCCAAGAACAAATAAATCAATTAGAAGAACATACAACACGAATATATATATATATTTTTTCCAGAAGACACAACTTGAATAAGAATCGAAACTTAAACCTCTGAATAAGTAGGCCGGTGACACAAATTATTTTCGAGGATCCTTATTTCAAGTACTAATTGGAAGCTAGTCGCGGATGATTAATTGAATGAACAAATGAAGGTGGTTTTGGTTAGTTGAATGTAAATTTTGGTGAGTTATCATAGTATATACTACGTATATTTAATTATACAAAATATTCTTTCGTGGAAGAAGAGTTAACCAACAAGCTAATTATACCTTACTTGGACATGATTTATGTACTTCATCTTATCTACAGTGATTATTTTCTGAAGCATTTAATGTGGAAGGAATAACTCTGGTGGCTGCCTAGCTTGTGCGCTAAGTATATTAGCTAATTAACAATATGACTTTGAGTTCGTTGCGAATAAGTCATACTTTAATACAAAGTACAAATAAGTGATTTTTCTCTTATATAAGATTATAAGCTAGTTAGCTAACTTTAAAGAGCTTGATGTCCATTATTTGAAATTTTATTGAATTCTTATTCTCATGACTAGAGGTGGCCAGTGGGCCGGGTTGGACCCAGCCCACCCTAACCCGCACGGCTGGTGGGTCACGTGGGTTCGACCCGGTTTCAACCCGGCACAGCCCAGCACAGCCCGGATTTAACCTGGGTTGTGTCGTGGGTCCAAAATTTTCAACACAACCCATTTCAACCCAGCTCGGTTTAACCCGTTTGATTCGACCCAACTCGCACAACCCGTTTTGACCCATTTAATTCGACACACCTAGCCCGCGAACCCACCTAACCCGACCCACCTCGCACAACCCAGCCCGCACGGCCCACCAACCCGCATGGCCCACCCAACCCGCACGACCCAACCCGCACGGCCCGCATAACCCGCACGGCCCGCACAACCCGCACAGCCCGCACGGCCCAACATCCATTTTTAAAAAAAACGGCTAGTTTTTTGTATGTAACAACTAGTTTTTTGAGTGTATGATCATCCCTTCAATTTTCCCTATAAATACCAATTCCATTTCACTCAAATTTCCACACAACTTAATCTTTCTTTCTCTCTTATTCAAAAATTCTTAATTGTTCTCAAATTCTCAAGTGTTACATAGAGTTAGATTTTTGTTAAAAAAAATCTCCTTAATTTATTAGTATTCTTAAGATTCTAAAAAAAAAAAGTTCTTCTCCATATTATAATTAGTAATCACAAAAAAAAAAAAAAAAAGGGCTCAAGAGGAGGAATGGGAAGGAGTCAAAGTGGTGGCCAAAGGAGTGGTGGTGCAAATTTTTCGTATGAAATTAATACGGATAATTTAAACCTATTTGTCAATCAATATGGAGATTATGGTTTAGGAGATGGGCAAAATATTCAAACGTCTCCACCACAACATTTCTCCCACCAATCGTCGAGTTCAACTATGCCACCTCCATCGCAACCAACATCACAACCAACATCTCAACCTTCATCTCAAGGTAATTTCTAATTAAATTTTTATTGTTATGAATATTTAAAAAAAAAAAACTATTATTAATGATTATAAAGTTAGTTTAGTTTCCAATTTTCTATGATTTATAATTAGTTAATTACCATGAAAAATGTGTTTAAGTAATTATAATTAAAATATTTAAAATTTAAAAGCTTATTTTCATGAATAGAGTTTAAAAATTAATTTCAATAATTTGATTTATGAAAGGTGGTGGCGGTGAAAGTAGAGGTCGAGCACATTATTCTTGGGTGTGGAAACATATTGAACGAGTTGAGGTCACACCCCCGGGATGGCAACCCGGTCAACCAAAGAGGTTCACGTGTATATGTCTAGTTTGCAAGGCGCTAGGTGGAAATGTCAAGTCATATAATTGGAAAACGGGAGATGGAACCGGAACCTTTAGTCGGCATTTGCAAAATAAACACCACTTGTTCGAAAATGGCCCCCGTCCTTCGGGGGATGGCGTCCAAACACAATTGGGTGGATACATGAACCAACTCGGCGGAGGTACACCTTTCATTTATAATAAAGATAGAATGATTGAAGCAATGAGTACTTTAGTTATTGCTAATGAATACCCTTTTAGTTACGGTGAAAATGCAAACGTTGAGCATTTTAATAAAGTTGCATTACAACCTGCATTTACTCGTGTCCCCCGAAATACCCTAAGACGTTATACACAAACTTCTTATTATAAGTATAGGAGTGGTTTGATTGAGTTATTTCGTACTTTTGATGGTCGTGTTAGTTTTACAAGTGATGCATGGACTTCTAGTTTTGGCGAACCTTATATTTGCATTACTGTTCATTGGGTAGATGATGATTGGTTTATTCAAAAACGTATACTATGTTTTCAAGCTATGGAAGAAAGGCATACCGGTTTTAACATCAAAGTTCGTATTTTGGATTGTTTAAAAGAATTTCACTTGAATAATAAAGTTTTTTCTTTGTCTCTTGATAATGCAACTGCAAACACAAAGTGTATTGACTATATGAAAAATGACTCCGAGTTACATTTGTTGTTGAGTGGTAGTCTCTTGCATGTTAGATGTTGTGCTCATATTTTGATTTGTCTGTTCAAGAGGGTCTCGCTGAGTTGCAACAATTGCTAAACCCAATTAGAACAGTTGTAAAATGGATTAGGATTACTCAGTCAGTTAGAAGAAAGTACATGGCTATGTGTAAAGAGAGAGGTCTTAAGAAAAAACAATGGTCTATTGATACCCCTACCCGTTGGAATTCTACTTTCAAGTTGTTGAATGATGCTATAAAGTATCGTGATATTTTAACCCAACTTTACAATGAGACTCATGTTGATCCTACTGAGTTAATAACCGAAAGTCATTGGACTAATGCTTCTTTTGTTCGTGATGTTTTAAAAGCTTTTGATAGTGCAACTCATATTTTCTCTTATATTTATGAGCCTAACATTCATTTAGTCATAATTGAGTGTGTTAAAGTTGTTCACGCCATCGAAGAGCATATGATGATTGATGGACTTCGTCCCGTTCTTGATAGCATGAAACGTAAGTGGCATACTTATTTTAGTGAATTTCCAATCATTTATGGAATTGCTGCTATTCTTGACCCCGGTGTCAAAGCTGAAGGTTTGGAAAATCTTTTAGAATTTTATTATACGAGTTTAAGTATCGATTATGATGTTAGTGAATATATTAACAAATGTAAATCTGTTTTGGGAGACCTTTATGATCATTATGCATCTATTTATGGTTTGGATTTAGCAACACCAACTTCTACTAACACTTCCGATTCTAGATTTGGTTTTCTTGATAAAGTTATGAAAAAAAAACACAAAGCATCTACATCATTCTCATCATCATCTTCTTCAACACTTGCTATTAATGCTTATTTGTCATATCAACATGAGACCAACAACAACTTTCAAATTATAAAATGGTGGCAAGAACATAAAAAGAGTTTTCCTATATTGGCGAGGATTGCAAAAGATATACTTGCAGTTCCCGCTTCATTCGTTGCTTCCGAGTCTGCTTTTAGTGCAGGTAGAAGAGTGTTAGATGAAAAAAGATCTCGCTTAACTCCGGAAAGCATTCAAATTTGTGTTTGTAAGAAAGATTGGGATCAAGCTGAAAGAAGAACTCAAGGTTTAAAGGAAGACGAAGACGATGAAGATGATCCTGTGATGATATTGGAATCGTCAACGGATGATGCAGTTTCCGAGGATGATGATGTAACAAACATGGGTGGCTAGAAAAGTCTAAATCAGGTACGCTAAGAACTACGTGGGCTTTGATTCTTTCGGGATACGTAGGCAACTTATTTTTCGAAAATTACAATTTAATTGCAAAATTAAATTTTAGTTTTCTAAAGATAGGTCCAAGCCCCCCCTCCCCCCAAATTTCAAAAGAAGTACAATATAAGAACTACGTTGTCTTTGATTCCTTATTTTATAATATAAAGATACGTAGACATCTTAAATAAGAGCAACTGAGCAAGTCATCAAATTGTTAATTTTGTAAAAATTAAAACACCACACAACTCACCCGACCCTAACCCACGAACCCATCCAACCCTAACCCAGGAACCCACCCGACCCTAACCCATGAACCCACCCGACCCTAACCCACCTAACCCACCCGACCCTAACCCACTAACCCACCCTAACCCACTAGTCCACCTTGACCCGTCTAACCCACAAACCCAGCTCGACCCACCCACGACCCGTCTAACCCACGAACCCAGCTCGACCCATCCACGACTCGTTTAACCCACGAACCCAGCTCGACCCACCCACGACTCGTCTAACCCACGAACCTAACCCTGGCGTGTCCAACTTCTCCGACCCAACCCACGACACGGCCCACCCTACCCTACGTGTGTCGTGCCGTGTGTCATGAAACCCCAACCCGCGACCCACCTAACCCTAACCGAGCTCGCACGACTCGCACGGTGGACACCTCTACTCATGACTGATGTAAAAGATATTTGGTTTACAAGTTTCTAAGCAACATTGATACCAAAAAAGATGAAGTTTTATTTGAATAAAAGAATCATACCATACATTATTGAACCATAATTGTCTAGTCACATAGTTTTTTTTTTTTTTTTCTCTTTCTCTTTTCCAACTCCTAAATCTCAATTAATTTATTTTGAGAAAAATCAACATATTGACAATATCGACAAAAGATTGTCAAGTAAACACATAATCTAGCACGTGGGTAACCAGAATGGATCTGTTTAACTATCGGAAATATATGGTTATTTCATTTATCGAGTATGAAAGATTTGACCAAGTATATATATAATGTAGTGATTTGACTAAACATTTATTGTATATTTAGGACTAACATAAAAGAAAAGTAAATTAAAATTTTATGGAATCTTGTTAGATTTCTTTCAAAGTGTACTTCTCAAATATGAAAATTTAATTTTGTAATTTATATTAGGAAAATTTTTAAATAACCACCCACAAATCACACCTATTTAAAAATAATCACCCGTTTTTTTCCCCTTTTTTTTTTTTTTTTACCCACCCCTTAAAAAGTACTCCGATTCCCACCCTTTTTAAAATCAGGTGAACTTTCCATCACTAGGACCCACATAACGGCTATTAACGGCTATATTGAGCCTTCATTACTGTTTTCCCCCCGATTTTTTCTATAAAACATTTCCTCAAACTCATTTTCTCTCAAATTTTCATCAACCCCATCTCACGAATTTAATCACAATCAACCCACAAATCTAAACTCACAAAAAAGATGAAATCTTTACATTTCAATTCAATCTCCATCTTCATTCTCTCACTACTTTCTCTCTCTCTATACTTACTATATCAAAATCATCAACACAACCCATGAATTGTTTTGACTCTGGCAGAGTCTGTTCTTCATTCTTAGCTCTAAAACCCTCCTTAAATCTGACTCTGCCATTAATCCAAAGCATGTTTGATGTCCTCCCAAAAGATGTAACAATTGAAAATAGTGATAAAGATTTCATCTTTGTCAGAAAAAACTGTTCTTGTGACCCTAGAAAATTAGGGGAATTTGGGGGGTTTTATGAATTAGGGTTTTTCGCACAAATTAATTGGGTGAAATTGGGGGATACCATGAATTAGGGTTCTTCGCACAAATTAATTGGGGAAAATTGGGGGATTTCATGAATTAGGGTTCATCGCACAAATTAATTGGGGGAAATAGGGGGATTTCATGAATTATGGTTCTTCACAGTTGAACATTCTACAGAGAATTTATGAAGAAAGAGGGAGAAGATAGATGATTTTTCAGAGATTTAATGAAAAAATTGAAAGAGGGAAGGGTTTAGTTGAGTTTAATATAATAGTGACAAGTAAAATCGAAAGAAAAGAAGAAGAAAAAAGAGGGAAATAAGTTAGGTGGGGCCCACTAACGGAAAAGCCACCGGAATTTTGAAAAAGGTGGGAATCTGAGTACTATTTTAATTTAAGGGGTGGTAAAATAAAAATAAAAATTTAACGGGTGGTTATTTTAAAAAAGGTGTGATTTGTGGGTGGTAATTTAAAAATTTTCCTGTTTATTATTATGCAAGTAAAGATATTCAATAATGAAGTTTACAAGTACTAAATTGAATAAATCTGATCCGATCTGATTCAAATACAAGTATGAACTACTATGTAAGTTTTTGTCCTTTTTTTGAAATAACTTAAGAGAAAACAAGTCCTAAATTCCCTACCCCATCACCTATCATGATTTTTATTCTTTTGCTTTGCTCTGCTTTGTCTCAATTTGGGGCTTACATTGTACCTTAATTAGGGTACCTTCTTCAATAGTGGCAAGATCCATGATTAAATCTCAATAATACCTTACGAATTATTGCATTTGTGTATATCATTTACAAATGGCACATAATCCACATATACATTAGTTGTACATAATTTTAAGTAAATGCCACTATATACCATGATTATCAAAGAAGTAACATGTTAGGAGAAATGGTTTAAGACTTTAAACAATGATAATTTGTGCCTTAAATCACAATGATGATAGTAGTAATGTTATTCATCAATATCAATTGCTTTATTTACATAACATCTACCAACAGAATCTTCCTTCCTTTCCTCGGCCTCCTTTGTAAACTCGAACAAAATCTGAACGGACTGCTGCAACTCATTCTTGATCACTGAATATTGATTTTGTACCACTAATAGTTCAGCTTCCTTGGCTTCACTTTCCTTTTTACAAGTCGAAAGTTCTTCCTCGAGTTCTATGATCTTCTTGTTGGAAGACTCCAATTTGCTCTTACATGATTGTAACTCGATATTTACAGCTGAAAGTTCAGTTTGTACCTCATGTAATTTTGTGACAATATCCTGATTTTCCTTCCTACAACCAGAAAGTTGACACTCGAGCTCTTTTATGTCTTTATTCGACGACTCTTGCTCAACCTTTGTAGATTGTAACTCTGTTTCAACAGAGGAAACATGCTGTTGCTTATTTTGAACCTTTGATTTCATATCTTCGCTTTCCTCTTTACTACTCGAAAGCTGTTCCTCAAGCTTCGTTACCCTTTCCTCGTACGTTTCCAGCAAGATTTTCGAGGAATTTAATTGTGAAATAGTGCACATAAGTTGGTCTTGTACCTTAAGCAATTCAATTTCTTTCTTTTGATTCTTGTTCTTACTAACATGAAGTTGATCTACGAGGTTCTTTACCTTCTTTTTGAAAGATTCTAACTCTATATTTTTAGCTTTCAACTCTGTTTCTAATGAAAAAAATTCACTACGTACCTTTTGTAACTCGATTTTCTTATTTTGCTCGTTTTTTTTGACTAGTTGAAAGTTGTGTTTTGAGGTTCTCTACATATTTTTGTGAGGCTTCAAACTTTTCCTTGTTTGTCGACGCCTTATTCTTAGCAGATGCAAGCAGGCCACTCATCGCGGCTAATTCCTTGTCCTTCTGTTGTAGCTGTTTTCTTAGGGAATCATTGATGGAGTTTGGAACTACCACACCAAAGGGAGACCAATCAAAGATTACATTTTGAACTGGCCTATAAGTACCTTTTCCTGGCACTGAAATATAACACGCTCCATTACAATTAATATAAATCTTTCCTGCTCGCGGCCTTAAAATAAGAGAATCATGTAACATTTGGGACATAGATTCTTTTACCTCCGTTCCATATACTACCAACTTATCTTTCCTAAGGTCTATATCGCGAATAATACTTGAATTTGACTCCGCAAGGAAACAAACCATTCTATAAATGAACTTGTTATGAAAAAATGCAGCAATAAAAATATTAGGGTTATCTTCTAGCTTGTATGTGGCCATTATATTTTATATACAGGACTAATTAAACAAATGAAATATGAATGTTTAAGAGAAATTAAACACGAGTATAAGGTTTCGTATTTAAAGACGAGCACCAAATCTTATGTTCCAATCGATATGTTACGATGGATTTATTAGGAGGTACTATGCAACAGATTAAAGAGATAGCTAGGTGATTTTGGTTGGGTATTTTTTTTTTTTTTTTTTTTTTTTTTTTTTGTAGTGATGATGGCTTGGACCGACGAAACGAACTGTATAAAAATTTATATAAGGTGGTGATCAACAACAAGATCTCAGATTTTAACTCGTTGGACATTATTCCTAGCTTGTCTAGCTATTGTTAAATTCTTGAGTACAGCTGATGAATTGTATACATAAAGTCTAGGAAAAGAATAATTTGCTAACTTTACTTCCTAGAGAAAGTTTATCGATGCTTGTTAGTTGTTAACTTGTTATACTTCCTCCGTTTTTTTTTATTGCATCATAGGGGTTTTGGAGGCAAAATTTGGTAGTGGGAAAAAGTAAGAGAGAGAAACGTAAAAATACAAAATTGTCCATGTAATGTAAGATAAAATAAAAAGTAAGTGTGAAAAAGTAAGGGTATGTTAGGTATTTGCAGTGTGAACATAGATATTTTTTATCCTAAAAAGGAAATGATGCAATAATAAGTAAACTTTCTAAAGTAATAAGTGATGCGATAAAAAAAGAACGGAGGAAGTAGAAAAAATACTTCGTACTTAAGATGTAAAATAGTGAGGTTATGCAAAAAATTGGGAAATTTCATCAATTCGATTGTATATTAATTACAATTGAGTCTAAATTGGAACGATTAACTTCATATTGCACTCATTTATGATCACAATTTTTTATAATTTTTGGTCAAATATATCCTATTCAAAATCATAATAAGTTAGGGTTCTAATGCAAATTAGGGATTTCCTCCAATTGAATTATTATTCAAAATTCTTCATTAGTTACATTAATTAATCTCATATCAAAATTCTAAGTATAAATCAACAAACATGATTAAACTAGAATATGTCAATAGTACAAAAGTCAAAATATTAACAACAAAAAAAAACAACGAAAACTTTTGACGAAAAAAACAACGAAATTAAGAAGTACTTATAATTATAAAAGAATTTATTCCTCAAAATCATAATAATTTATAAAAGCATTTAACCATGTCTACCGTTCAAAATCAACAATCTCCATTAGGGGTGAGCAAACCAGGTACCCGGTCAAAATTTTAGGACCCGGACTTGGAATTGGTTAGAACCGGGTCCTAAAATTCGGAACCGGAATTGGAATTGGTTAAACCGGGTCCTAAATTTTAGGAATTGGAATTGGAACCACTGGGTACCGGTTCCGGTTCCGGGTACCCACTTATGTATGTAATTGTTAAAATATAATACAAATTATAATTCTTATTTTAGTTAGTATCATTATTAGTGTTTAATACTTATATTTATATATGCATTAAGCTATTTGTATTCATGTTAGGTATTAATAATACTTTTTTTATTGTACAAATTAGATACATTTAACATATTTTTATTATTTAAAGTTTATTTAATTTAGGATATATTGGGTAACCGGGTACCCAACCGGTTCCGGGTCCAAAAAGTTGAGAATTGGAATTGGAATTGGTTATAACCGGGTCCTTAATTTATTACCCGAAATTGGAACCACCGGGTCCAATCTCGGTTCCGAACCTGCCGGCTCCTAACCAGTTCCGGTTCCAATTCCGGATACCCGGAATTTTTGCTCACCCCTAATCTCCATTATTGCTTTAATTAAATTATCAATCACTAAAAAAAATATTAATCCTCCAATTCCATCTGAGGAGTGAAACTCATTAAATACTTGATATTTGCAACTCATTCATGATCAAACTAAAATGATCATGTACCTTTTCACAAGTCACTATTTTTTCGGATGAACTTTTATTTTTCATCTTTTGCAATTTTGAAAATATAACTTCATTCTCTTTCTTGCAAAGAATCAAGCCCTTCTACGCTTTTCTTCGTCGATTCTTGCTCCGTCTTTGTTGATTCTAATTCCTTTTCAATAAAAAAAACTCGATCTTCCATCTTTCGTACCATTCCTTGCTGCTCCTCCAAGGCCGCAACCCTTTCAATGATTTTCGAGGTTTTTAATAACTCGAAAACAGTCGAAGAAAGTTGACGTTGTACCATTTGCAAATCCATCTCCAAACACTTATTTTCTTTCTTAGAAAAAAGAAGTTGATTTTTCACCTCTTCTTGCTCGATCTTTTCAGCTTTTCTCTGCTTTCGACACGTTGAGAGATCCTTCTTGAGCTTCTCTATCTCTATCTTTGCGGCTTCCCATCCATCTTTGTTCGCTTTCGCCTCATCCTTGGCAGAACAGAGTAGGCTGCTAATCTTTGCTAATTCCGGCTCTTTTTGTTGTTCCTCCAAATAAAGACCAATCAAAGATAACATTTTGAATTGGTCGATAATATTTGAATTTTTCTATTAAAAAGATATAGCACTCTCCATTACAGTTAACACAGAGCTTTCCTACCTCTGGTCTCAAAATAAGAGAGTTATGAAGCTTTTCTCGATTCGATTCGATTCGTCTATTTCAGTTCCATACACGATCAATCTATCTTTCCTCAGATCTATATCACGAATATGTTCCCAATTAGACTCTGATATGATAAGATTCATTCGAAAATTATACGATCCTTCTTTAACGACACCTGATAAAAAGATATCAGGAGTTTCATCGAGCCTGTACGTGCTCATTTTGAGAAATGGTCTACTTTGATAAAGTGATGCGAAAGAGAATGTTGGAAATTTTAATTCAATTTATAAAAGGAAGACACCACTATATATAATTGACAGAGCCATTGATCATACTAGGGTTACAACTTATCAGATAAGTGGTGTTAGGAAAACTTAAAAGCAACCCAATACGATAATTATACAAAATATATAAAGATATATCCTAAATCTATGACAATTAGAGGCTAATTTAAGCAATAAAATATACCTCATAAAGATATAAAAAAAATTACAAATGATTATATCAAATAAATAAAGATCTTCATACAATATAATATCCTATTGAGACATATTTTATGAGATGTGATAATATTGGTATAGTGTAATATATTCGGAAGTAAGAATATTTATGAATATTAGATTTTATATTCGTATCCTTATATATATTGTATTGTGGCCGATTTATGTAAATGAGAAATACAGGGAATTACACATTGAGATCAATTTAACATATCCTAATAATATATCAAAGATAACAACATATTAACAATGATACTTATTAAAAGAGATCATAATACATATCTCTTGATATCTCTAAAATATTTCACTTAACATTATTCAGGGGTGGCTTCACCTGTGGATCAAAATGAAATTTGATTGAGACAATAAATTTATTACATTCGATATTTATAAATAATCTGTATACTAAAATACACGTCAGTCGTAGGAGCGAATGACATTACCTTATGTATCCTTTATTTTTGGATAAATGTCTATTTTCTATTAAACTTTTGCTTTGCTTTTTAATATAGATTATGACAAAATATAATTTCACCATTTTTTTATATGTGGCTATCTACACTGTGTGGCCGGGGTTACTTGTAGGGGTAACTGATTTGGTCAGGGGTTACTTGTAGGGGGTTACTCGTTTGGTCAGGGATTACTTGTAGGGGTTACTCGTTTGGTCATGGGGTTACTTGTAAGGGGTTACTCGTTTGGTCAGGGGTTACTTGTAAGGGTTACTTATTCTAGGCTTACTTGTTTGGTCATGGGTTCCTCGTTTGGTCAAGGGTAAATTATAGGGAATACTTAATCAGGGGTTATTCATTCAAGGAATACTCGATCCATTAGGGGTTACTCTTACACGGAAATCGCACTAAGCAACTGAGTAAGTAACCTCTACAAGTAATCACTGAATAAGTAACCCATAAAGTAACCCCTAAATAAGTAACCTATACAAGTAACCCCCGAATAAATAACCCTTGCCACACGATGTGGTTTGCAAATATAATTTCTATATATTTGATGTAAATGTTTTATCATTTTTTTAGATATAATTAATTTTTGTAAGAAAATTAGACTTATAGTGCATGATACGAGGCCTACGCTAATATTAAAAAAATAATAATAATAAAAAAAAAAAAATAAAAAAAAAAAACATTGCCTAAGCTAACTATTACTCGCAATAAAGCAAAATAAATGAATTTTTTGCGCTCGTGAAAAGAGAAAAAATAAACAGCAAAATAAAATTAGTTTTGCCTAAC